TTCGGTCGATGTTTTTGCTTACGCATTAGCAAGGGGCCAAGCCTCTTTTACTGGTTCGCCAGTTATTTTGCTGTGGACTACGGTCCAGTTCCCGAATTAGCTTTCCCTGCGGGGGGAGTGCATCAAAATGGTTGGCGCTCACCGTGCACGGCGTGTGTGGGGCCGTGTACCTCCCCTACATTTTTTTTTAAATAAATGTAGGAGAGCGAAGCCCTTGTATCGGGTATTTTTGTATAAATATATTGTGAGCCTTTTCCAAGCGGGAAGGGATAAATAATAATAAATTAATAATGTCAACCTGATACAAGTGGAATAAAGACGTTTTACGTTCTTAACCTTTCTCGAGCCCTGTCTTCGTGAACGGGATTCACTTAGCTTAAAAGGCACTACCAACAGCTTTCAATTGTTCTAGTGAATATTCATTCTTCCAAAGGACACCTAAAAGAACTAAGTTACTAAACAAACACAACGTAAATAAGGGTCCTAACTAAGACGATCACGCCAAAATATTACAAACGGCCTATTATTAAACCTTTAGAAAGATCATTTAGAAAGATCTAAACATAATTTATTAATCCTGGTCACATATATATAATTTTTAATATAAAGGGGAATATAATACATTTAGTATTTTATATATTTATTATTATGAGAGGGGGGAAGCGTTACAAAATGAAGAAACTTCTCTTCCGTACACAAGAATTCGCAAAAGCCAACGGGTACAAATATTACTGGACTTCATACGGAATCGTTTACCTTAGAAAGAAAGAGGGATACAAGCAAATTATAGTAATCAGAACAAACCCTGATAGATCTGCAGAAAACCGTATGACTAGACCAAGTTTATTTTTGTAATTTTGCTGTTTTATACCTAAACTGTTGTTTAAATCATCATTTCTTTAATGTCTTTCTTGTGAGTTTCTCAATTTATATTTATAACGTAAATACCATATACACAAATTCATTACAATTCCAATACAATATTCTTACACCCGCTCTCACAATCACAATTACATCCTTTTACACACACACTCACACCCAATCATAAGCACTAAATAACACACTCATATGATCCATTATTTATCACTGAGATATTTTTAAAGCCTATTACTACCTATATAATGCTCAAAAACTATATGTTTCCCATGCTTAGTAGTCCAAAACTTTCATAAATGGCTAATGATATTCTAAATAATGAAGTTGAAGATATATCTATTTCACAAGCTATTAAATGTGAACCGCTAAATTTCCAAAAGTACATAAATAACAATTCAAAATATTTGTCTCTTCTGCATGTCAACATTAGAAGCGTAAATAAAAATTTTAACGAATTCCGTTTGCTATTATATGCTCTAAATATCACCTGTGATATTTTGATTCTTTCTGAATGCTGGTTGTCTAAAATATCTATCATACCGCAGCTTGAGGGCTATTTATCAAATAGCACGAAATCCATTCGCAACCAGAACGATGGGTTGGTGATCTACATTAAGAACTTAGTTACAAACACACAGTATATCAACCTAACTTTAATGACGCAAGCTGTCTAATCTGCACAATAAATAAAAATGTAGCTATAGTAGATTTATATAGATCACCTTCCTTTCGAAACACCGATAATTTTATGGACAGCCTGAATACTACGTCAATTAATTTATCAGAAATAAATAATATCATTATAATAGGCGACATTAACATAGATATTAAAGTAAATAATTGCGACCCAAACTCAAATTATTATTTAAATCTTATGGCTTCTCGTGGAATGTTACCAGCACATCAGATTCCGACCAGATTGGATAAGTGTTTAGACCACGTCATTTTAAAAACAAGGCTTCGATCTACAACTCTTGTGATAGAAACATCATTAACTGATCATTTTCTAGTTCTCTCAAATTTAAATTGTAATCTAAGTCCTGTTAACCGTCGAATAAACTAAATTGGCAAAAAAATCAATTTTCCTCAAGTGGCACATAAAATAAATAACACAGATTTTTCTATAATTTTTTCGTTCGACGACGTTAATAAGGCGACCGATCTGTTCCTAGACACGTTAATTTCTATAATGAAAAGAAATACCATTAGTTGTACAATTCCATGCAGACAACGAACAATAAAGCCCTGGATAACTTAGGAGTATTGACTGCATTAGAAACAGAGACCGCATGCATAAAAACGTCAAACGTAAACCAAATAACGTGATACTGGAAAAAACTTACAAACGCTACAGGAATGTTTGTACTAATCTTGTAAAAAATCTCAAGAGAGACTACGAGAGATCTGAACTTTCCAAGGCTAAGAAAAGTCCTAAAAACACCTGGGAAATTATTAAAAACGTTACTCATACAAATAAAGTAAGTGTACCACCATTAGAACTTTTAAATTTGTGCGATGATGCTAAAATATCAGTTGATGCCGTAAATTCATTCTTTGCAAATATAGGGAAAGAACTTGCAAATAAAATCAAATTTAAAATCTATTGACTCACCACCTAACTTCTTGCACTCTTTTTCACATTCTATGATTATCCTCGAAATCGATGAAGGTGAAGTACATGATGCTATTATGAGCCTACGAAATGACAGTGCTGTCATTTCGTAGGCTCATAATAGCCAAACCCAGTTCTTACACCTATAATTACTCACCTATGTATCTTGGCGATATCCACTGGGAAGTTTCCTGTCGCCCTGAAAAGGAATCCTGTCGCCTGAAAGGGCAATTGTACATCCCATCTATAAAAGTGGGCAATGTCACAAATTACCGCCCAATTTCTGTCCTGCCCGCTCTTTCTAAAGTATTTGAGCGTATCCTAAATCGCTATCTGGTTTTCTTTTTTGAATCAAATAGCTTAATCTCCAAAAATCAATTTGGCTTTAGAAAGGGCAGGTCTACCCAGGATGCTGTTGCTTCCCTGGTATAACATGTAGTCACCGAACTCGACGAAGGCAGGAAATATCTGGGTATTTTCCTGGACCTTTCTAAGGCATTCAGCACTGTCTCTGTCCCAATACTGTTAAAGAAGTTGGAAATGCTGGGTATCAGGGGTCGTATCCTGGAAATATTTGCTAATTACTTATGAGGTAGGACGCAGTGCACAATGATAGGCTCTTTTGTCAGCAAACCCGAAGCCCTTGAATTTGGAGTTCCTCAGGGTAGCATTTTAGGGCCCACATTGTTCCTGTCCTATGTAAATGAGCTCTGTGACTTACCTCTATCTGATTGCCGTATACCGTATACTTATGCTGATGACATGGTCCTTGTTGTTTCTGGGAATAACTAGTCAGAAACAATTAAGATGGCAGAGAATAATTTTAGAATGATTATGACGTGGCTAAATCGTAATTTTCTAACCTTAAATATAGATAAGACTAAATTAATAACCTTTTCTAAAAGACCCTCTGCACAACCACCAAGCGAGTGCTTCGATATGCGTGCTCACAATTGCTCCAGTGGGTCAAGTAGAATCCGTTGCGGGTCGGTTACGTAAGATAATCTACATCTTTAAAACATTACGTAGTTCCGCGGATGCAGATATCCTGTCATCTGTGTACACCGCCCTTTGTGAGTCATACATACATCATATTGTATCCCGATATGGGGTTGTGCCTCTAAGAATACCTTCATTAAAGTTGAGCGCGCACAGAGGGCAGTGTTAAAGGTTATGCATAGGCGGCCTTGGAGATACCCGACCGCACAACTTTATAAGTATTGTAATGTACCTACAGTTAGGCAACTTTACATCCTTCACTCAATTCTGCATCTACACTCTACTGTACCTCCAAATAGTTCTTTCACGCCAAGGATACGTCAAAAAGCAGCATGTCCTGTCTAAACATGTAGGACTTATTTTGCTAAAAAGCAATTATCCTCGTCAAGCTCGCGGTTATACAATAAACTCGATAAAACGTTAAAGATAAATAAGTTGAATGCCTACGAAGTTAAAAAAAGGTAATTTTGTACCATAATTAATTAAATTACAGTGCCACTGAAGCTTTAATATCCTAAACCCTACAAATTGTATACATACACACACACACACACACACACACACACACACACACACACACACACACACACAAACCCATGCCATACATTATCATCACTATACACTTTTACTTTTTATTTTATTTTTTGTATTTTCTTTTTCCTTAACTGCCTGCTCTTCAAATGCTCGCAATAATGTAATAACCAATTAAATTAACTCGCTATGCTGTTATATAGAATACGTTTAAGGAGCCGAACCACTGATTTTCATAACACAGGTTATCCTAGCATGAAAGTCAGGGGATCAACTTATCTATAAGTCCCTTATGCTAGCCATTTTGTTACAATTAATCTACGATAACATTGTCTTATGTTTAAGGCTTTATTTCTCAATAAATTATTATTATTATAATGACATTGTAACCTTTAACCGAAAATCATTTATGCGTAGGTTTAGTGGTGTGTCATCGTGCTAAATGGAAGTCTAGTCTCTGCTTACTCCTCTAGACCACACGCGTGAATCTTATGTTTTTCTGGTTTAGCGATTAACAATTACAGCAGTAAATTTACAACAACATATATTTTCAAAATAGAATTAGAAAGGTAGTTTCCATGGCAAATCATATATGAATTAACCCATTTTATTCGTTTTCAGAAAAAGGAATAAAGGATAAGGTTTTTTCCAAAAGGATACTACAACAATATTTAAAATCAACATATAGATATAACTTACAACAATATATAGATACACTGTACTGTGCTTTACTGTACTACGTTTTTATAAACTCGCTAATGTGTATAATTTGAAATTAACTTCCCAATAACCTAGACACTAGAAATTTTGAACATAGCTCAGAATCAGGTGACAATATAAGAATCTAAAAAAAAATTCAAAAATAATTTAAAAAAGTAGTATATTATTTTTTTTGTGCATAATATTATTGTTAATGTGTGTTAAGCGAAGTAGAATAAATGAAATATTCAAATTACATACAGTCATCGCTTATTTTACTCACCTCTGGATCAGCTAACAGTTGAATCGTGTAGTTTGGTCCATCTATAACCGGAGTCCTACCGTTGGGATCTCTCCAGAAGGCGATCGTGGGTTTGGGCAGTGCTTCCACTCGGCATTCTAATATGACTGAATCTCCTACTGCCGCCATTGTTATTCCAGATGCCTGGATAGTTGGTACATCTAAAATAAATATGAATTTGAATAAGTTTGAATTGTGTTAGTTAAAAATTCAACTATGCCCAACCTTAATACTGAAAATTAGTGATAAAGTGGAGCAGTGGATATACGTGATACCACGTTCATCCAAAACACTAGCGTAAAATAGTATCATAACGCTGATGTGCTCGTATGGTGAGTGCAAAGAACCGATACCCTTTGCACTGGTAACGAATCATTTCATCTTAGTCTTCAGAGATGACAACGCATCTGCATTTTGATTCTTTATCGAGGATGGATGTAGATGTCTATGGACCATATCAGGCGCTTACCATCATTTCAGCTGTGCACTCTTTTGTCACCCTTACTTCTTTTACAAATTTAGATTGTCTCACTCATCACATTAGACAAGTTTGTTGGTGGTATCCTTGAACTGATATTGCTACCCCCAACCATAAGTTTGTGAGATTTGGATTTGACATTTAAGATTTTTTATGCAATTTCGTTTGTAGTTAATGGAATTCAAAATTATGATCTAAAGGCAAATGTTAACTACACGTGCAGAAAGATTAAGAAAAAAAGATATTCGAGAAATGAAATTTCACCATCAGTTGTCTTCAAAATAGCGTCCACTTCTTTTTGAAAGGCCGAGACTGCACCTACCATTCCTCTGGTATTGCTGATGTTCATAGATGACAGTAGACAGTAGTTGGCCACTTACATTCATGTGAAGTTAACGAGCATGTAGCGCACCTGCATCTCCTATAAAAATATTTATTAAGAAGAGTATAACTTCTAAATATTACTAACGTGATATGTTGATCTTTCTTGAAGCCTGCATAGGTGTTCCATAACCGTTGTCTGCGTAGCAAGAGATCTGGTCCATGTCGCGCGTCACATTGTGTATCACGGTTACCATGTGCCTCGTCACTTCTTGCCTCACTAGATGGCCTGTGAAAAATACTTTTAGTCATGACAGGCACGTGAAAATTTTGTCGAGAAATGAAAAATCGATATAATTTTCCTACTTCGCTTCTGATTTTTTATATCGGCATTTTATTCCTAATCAAAAATAGACATAAGCTATAGTAAGCTATATGGCACCATAGCCACCTACCATCAGACTGTGTGCTCGTTTGTCACCTTTATACTTGTAAAATAATGTGCAGTAATAATGTCATTGGGATCGAATGTTGGACACGGCGGTCAGTTTCAACGAAGACTAGGCACCTATGGGCAAGACAAGATAATAGTGCAAGAGTGTGTGCACAGAGTGTGTGCGTTCTTTATTCCTTTACTCTTATAATATGACACTACCGGATCAGCCCTAGTACTGACGGTTTTACTTGTTTCCAAGACATGGGGGTGAGAAACTTATTTTGGCCCGACCCGGACCCGATTCAAACCCGAGATCTCATGATCGGCAGTCGTACTTACATGATCTAGACATAGAGGCAGTCATTATTTTATAGGATAGAGTGACAAACGAGTACACAGTCCACCTGATGGTTACTGGTTGCTATGGCCCATAGACATCTACATCTATCCTCGATTACGAATCAAAATGCAGATGCGTTGTCACCCGTGAGGACTAAGATGGAATGCCTCGATTCCAGTAACAAGGTTCTCCGATTCTCTGCACTCACTATACGAAACATAGCAGCATTAAGCTGCTATTTTACGCTGGTATTTTGTTAGGGCGTGGTCCTTGCCCGGTCGAGCCGACCCATTCGTGCAACAACTACATTACTGAAATGTAACTGTATGTGTAGCTACAGCATGGCTCTACTACATATTTGGAAAATATTGAGTTTTAAAAAATATTTTGCTTATTTAATTTTTTTTTTGAAGTAGAGTTATAGTTGTTTTGTGCAATATTGTTTTAAGTAAATAATAATGATTGCTATTAAACTCATGATTGGTAAGTTTTTATTGAATATTTCTTGTTGATTTAACATTTGAGGAACATTTTTTTCGGAATTGTAAAAGTGCAAAGAATAAAAATTATATGTTAATTAGAAGTTTTGAGAATGATCTCAAAGTCAGCCATTATTTTTTTATTACCAGCTCATATTATTAATCATTTTATTAGGAACGCTAATAGCATTGATATATTTAAAACTTAAAAAGCTTTGATACGTATATAGACGTTTACTTTTCTTTTTTAAACTTTGACGTACTCAGAGACTACATTCGCAATAGAACTATAACTTACCAGATATGTATAACGAAATAGTCGGTGTGGGTGTGCCCATTGCGATGCACAGAATTGTCATACTGGATCCTTCCACTACTAAGTTGACAGGGTTCACTGCCGGCGGCTATGGGAAATTAAATATGATTTTAATTTACAATAATCGTGTGCCAATCGAAACAATATTGCTGTTGGAATATATACTGCCGACAAAATAATAAAAACTATTTTTTTAAGAAAAAACAATTGCAAACAGTCTCTTATCCTATTTCTGCTGCCAAGCACCAATTGTGCATTGCTGAATTACGACCTGAAGAGTATAAATAGCAAGTATAATTAGAGGCTTTGAGGAATTCCATCTTAATCGTGGGAGGTGTCCATAGGCTGCAGTAATTGTAGGCCATACAAATACTTGTTGCATGCGCGATTCGAATCCGCGGCCTTTAGATCCGTAAATCAATGAAAAGTCACTGCGCCAAGGAAGCGTCTTTTATCCAATAACTAAGCTTGAACCTGTAAGCGATAGAGGGAAGCAAACCGAAAGAATGTAGCAGCCTCTTCGTAATAACGACTAGGAAAATACATGGCGCAAATCGCCCCTATGAGGCAATCAATGGGGCGGGCATGTTATGTTATGTAGTAGAGCACTGGAATTTGATAGTTGATGTTGAATGATGAGGGATATGTTCAGTACTGGACGTGTACTGAGCTGCAATGACGGTGATAATGAACCACCAACACTCTAAATTGTTTTATTTAAAAAAGTGCGAGGTGAGCCAATTTGACTTTCTACAATCCTCAAAGTCAGTAGAAAACGATAAATATGAATGAAATCCACGTCAAATCGTAACAGTCACGTGGCTATATTGAGATAATATGTCATTCCTATTAACTTTACTATGTTTTTACTAAGGGTGTGTTCCGGTATAGACTGTGACCACTTTAAGGTGAGACGCTGTGAATCTGTTCCTTTCTAGTTTGCTGTACTGGTTGCTGTTTAAAACTCAACGAAGTCCAATATACTGTCATCCCTATTTTCCTACACTGTTTTCAAATGAAAATATTTATCATGTACACGTTTTCTGTTCAACAAGAAAAAATATTATTCGAATGTTGTTGCTTTTAAAACTTAATCTTTCAGTTTATTTGAATAACAATATTAATCCTTAGTGGAAGCTATGGAGTCTCTAGGCGCTGTTATGTATTTCGATCACGTGATCAAAATACTGAAAGCACCTTACCTCGCAAGAGCCTGTGCTCATAGTACATAAATGGCGGCGATTTATGACGTCATATATTTTCCCAAGATACTGCGACTGGTAAGGTAAGGTACTGGAGAGCACTGAGCAGTTCTCGCAGTGTATATCGGAATACGGCCTTAATCGCTTTTGTAGGGTATGTCCGTTCGGGTCGAATTTAGTCATTGATTTTAAGCTAACTTACCGATGAGCTAGATACTTGAATTTTTAAAAGACTTAGAATCGGAATACAATGTAAGATATTGTTACATAGTTATCCGAATAAATTTTTTTTTAAAAGACGAAGAAACAAAATTGAAGAAGTACGATACCTTTGGTACGTTTTAAATAACGTGATATTTTAAAAAGATGTCGATTGATTTGTTATACTTATATATTAGTGTTAACGGTTATTTTTAAATCTATTATAAGCCAGTACTTGGTTATTATTCTTCCACGCGATGGTGATGTAGCCGATGATGGTAAGACGCACTAACTAAAACTTTCACTGTCCGTTGTTCAGTCACAATATTAAGACAACGACCTATATATAGTGCACGGGACAGTGAAAACTTAACAAAAGCCTATTCACTCTTGACTTGAGGATGCCCACATTATAATCGGATGAAAAGACATAATATGCTGTTAAATTATTCCATCTGCTGTACGCTTTATCAAGGATGAAGTAAGCCAACAATACAAGTTAACGATTGTAGAAAACCAACTTTGCTATAAAATGGAATACTAATTTTACGGACTTTATAAGTATAAGAATTCGTATTATAAGAATTAGTAGTATAAGAATTCTCATAAATATGAGAAATTATTACAAAAAGCACTGAGCTCAACATAAGCAGGGTAAGCTGGGTCAGTCCAAGCGAGCAGCGTCTCCGATGGCAGAGAGTCTCCTGCAGCAGCATGCGCTATGACCCACACAACGTACTGGGTGTTGGGAGTTAATTTCTCCAGGGTGTGGCCTGGTACAGTTGTGTTTATCATTGTGACCTTGCCTTGGCCTACTTGGGCTGGGGATTTGTAGAATAACCTGTTAAGTGTATAAACTATTGAATTGTTTTAAGATGGGTCATGAGTCCATTTTAATTGATTGTGCACTGTAGCAGCAAAAGCTAGTGAGTATAATATCTATGGTAGATAAAATTGAAAACTAATCTTACGTGTACGATAACTTTTCGTCAGGAATTGAGAACTGAGGCGGTTGCCAGGTCAAAGTCAACCAAGTTGCTGAGTGAGACGACACAGACAATGAATGCGGCGGCGATGGAATTCCAGAAACTTCTTTCTTGGAGTCTGACATATAAGAAAATGTTAATCAACGCATTATTAGTTTAACACCTATAAAGTTTACTTTAAAAAAAATATTAATTGTAGTTTTTTTTGTCAATCCAACATGTTATAATTTTAACGATGTATATCAACTTATGTACAAATATATTGGTTCAAATGTATTGTGTTTTATGTGATTTTAAAAAAGAAATGTGAAAAGTGAAATAAGAAAATAAATACATTTAGGAATTGAAGTAATATCATTCCAGAATTAATTAAATCAAAACTTTTCCAATAATGCACATAAATAAAACGTCTTGAAATTTATTTGAATTATAAGTAAGCATATTATAATGCTACTCGTATATAATATACCTATCAGATAACCTAGAAAATATTTTTTTATACAACCAAAATTCAAACTGATTCTAAAGAGAGGGTTTCTTACCTTTATCCGTAATGTTTAGCAGCAGCATGCTGGAAGGTAAGGATGTGCCGTGCTCGTTGACGGCGACAACGAACACGTGGTAGATGCTGTTGAGTTCCAGGTCAACGATGCGCGCCATTGTGTCTGTCACGTTCAATTTCTGCGATGGAAATTATTGTTTAGAGCAATTTATTTATTTTGATTGAATTTATTTATTTTGATATCTGTATTTTCAACTTTTAAATAATTGTTTTAACAAATGAGTTAAAAAGGAACACTTTACTTTAAATAAAATTATTTTTATTAAGCATATAGACTTAGATAAATATTTTCACTTACGTTTTATTATAATTACTCTATTTCTTAAAAAAAGTTATTATGTATTTTTTATGTATAATAGAACTTAAGGTATGATACTACGTATAGACATTTGATATTTATAATATAGCCGAATTCGAATGCCGAATGGGCGATCGAGATACCCGATGCCTTGTTTCTTTGTTGCTACTTCCTGTGTATACCAGCTGGTTATACTGCAGAAATCCAGCAGCAGAAAGCAATGCTATTCGCATTACTACTCTTCCATTCTACTCCTGGTAAGCTTAAAATGCGTACTCCGATTTTTAGAGTTCGCGATCCGCAACCTGCTATTAGACTTCTGTCGTTTCGCTTTTGTTTATCTTTTTTTTTAATTTTACTTCCCTTAATTATTTATTTTTAGCAAAATTCACTAAAAAGAAAGGAGGTTGTTTAACAGACTATATATTCTTTTTTTGTATATTATATGTTAATAAAAATAAGTATCTTCAACAACTGTGAACTGATTTTTACCGACTTCAAAAAGGAGGAGGTATTGAATTCGACTGTATGTTCTTTTTTTGTACATTATATGTTACGCGATATCTTCAACAATATTGTGAACTGATTTTTACCGACTTCAAAAAGGAGGAGGTATTCAATTCGACTGTTTGTTCTTTTTTTTGTACATTATATGTTACGCGATATCTTCAACAATATTGTGAACTGATTTTTACCGACTTCAAAAAGGAGAGTATTCAATTCGACTGTTTGTTCTTTTTTTGTACATTATATGTTACGCGATATCTTCAACAATTGTGAACTGATTTTTACCGACTTCAAAAAGGAGGAGGTATTCAATTCGACTGTATGTTCTTTTTTATGTGTGCTACCTCATAACTTTTCTCTGGGTGAACCGATTTTGATGATTCTTCTTTTATCTGAAAGCTGGTGCTTCTCGTGTGTTCTCGTGTTCTATATAAATTTAATCAAGATCTGATCACTATTTTTTGAGATATCTTTAATAATGCATACTTAATTGACTTCGAATACATTGATACAAAGAGCCGTAGTAATTCAGATGGTTAGCGCTCGCTGTAAATTTCACTATACGCGAGCAAATCGGGTTCGATCCCCGCCGGCACCAATAAAATTGTTAAATGCAATGTTAAGTGCTGATCTACCACGTGATCGGCGGTGAAGGAAAACATCGTGAGGAAATCTGCACGTCTGAGAAATAAAAAAAAATATTTCGAAGACATATGAAAATCGTCAACACGCATTGGGGCAGCGCAGCGGACTATTCCTTGCCCTAAAACCCTCTCAGAAATGAGAGGAGGTCTGTGCCCAGGAGTGGGACATATATAGGCTGTAACTTTACTGTTTTTACTTTACATTGATTCGGTAGTATTGAAGTCGGTTGTACAAAATTTTTAGTTTTACCATTGTGATTATAATTTTTCATTAAATAAGTTATTTATCAGTAGCAGTCTCTCAAAAGATCATCACTTAAGAACAGCTGGACCAATTTTAACGAAATTTTGCGACGTGAATACGTTTTTAAATTTGCTTTCATAGTAATCGGAAGATACAGTTTGGTGTCGCATGTACATTCTGTCATCTACATCCAAAACTTAATTACACTACTCGATAGGTAAAGGATCAAAGAATTTGTTACGTTGAGTGGAGCGCCGTCGTTTTGAGTTTTTTTTATAGAAGAAGGGACAAACGAGCATGCGGCTCACCTGATGTTAAGTGATTACCGCCGCCCATGATCAACCGCAACACCAGGAGAATTGCGGGTGCGTCGCCGGCCCTTAAGAAAGGAGTAAGCTCTTTTCTTGAAGGTCCCCAGGTCGTATCGGTCCGGAAAAATCGCCGGTGGTAAACTATTCCACAGAGAGGTTGTACGTGGAAGAAAACTCCTTGTGAAACGTACAGTGGTGGACCGCCAAGCATCCAGATGGTGTGGATGGTATCGGGACGTTTGCCGTGTAGTGCGTTCACGAAATTTGGCGGCTGGGATTAATCCGAACAATTCCTCAGAGCACTCCCCGTGATAAACGTCGTTACGTTACGTGATATTTTTGTGTGTGTTTGAGTGGGTCCCTGGATGGTTGATTCACAAATAGATGGCGCTGCTGTCGAGTTCCAGAAACATCCGTGTGAAGCCGCGGCGAATAGCTTGTTTTTAATAAAACTATTAATACAAAATTTTAGTTTTAACATTGAGATTGTGACATAACTTATCCCACTCAAAAGGGTCAAAAAGGAAACTTTTAATTAAAGGTAAAGGTTAAAGACTTCAAAGAACTAAAAAGAATAAAATAATTACTACATTGTAGCTTTTTAAAGCGGGGTTTTTATTTCCTGTAAAGACTATGTCTTAACACCGACTTCAGAAGATATGTAATAAGTGAAAATTATTTTAATCTTTTTCAGATTAAATTTTTGATTTACTATTAATTTAGAGATATTTCACGAACGCGTAGTGAAATAAACACAAGAGTGAATTTCAAAAAGTATTATCAATAATCTATATTGAAAAAAAAAAAAGTTTCTATTTCTATTATTTTTTTCGATTAAAAGTCTAGTTTTATGCGCATTTTTATGCATATTTAATATTAAACTAGCATCCAGTTTACATATTATATAAGTGTACTCTGTATGGTACATTTTATTCATAAAGATTTTCTAAAGCTTTGCGAACGTAGATAGTCACATTCAACGTACCTCTCGAAATTGATTTCGGTAAATATTTCGAAACGTAGCTAGCGAACTGTGCAAATATTTGTATTTCAAAACATCTATGGATATGAAAACCGTTTGAATTTACAGTTGATTTGCTATCATATGCTCGAATCTCAGTTAGATCAGCTAACATCTATTTTTTCTGGTTGTATATCTCTGACGCAGCATTCGAGCTTAACGTCAATATTATTGCTTAACTACGAGCTGTATTAGTATAAGAAGATGTCCATAAAATATATACGCAAAAACAGGAGAGGGAGGATAAAGTAACATAGTCTTACATGATTATAAGTGTGAAGGAAGGGGAAGTCCGAGGAACATGTTCTAACACAACGAAATATATGTATAAATGCAAAGAGGGTAGTTGCAATCTGTATACGTCTTACCACTAGGCACAGGCTTTCAGCAGCGTGGCTGTACCATGTCATGTGAATTCTTAAATTACTTACGTTGTCAAGTTGCAGGGTGTTGTAGTAGTAGGGCTGCGAGTTATTGCCAACTAGTTGCCAGTGGACGGTATATGAGGTGGCATTAGCGCCATCTTGTGGTGGAACCCAGTCCAAGAATAGTTTTCCGTCGTTTGACACAACCGCGTGCAGCTCCCGAGGCGGTCCAGGAAGAATTCCGGTACCTAGAGAGGAAGCACTGTCAGATATTGGCTGTGTAGGGTTGATTCAGTGGTCAAAAATTTGTTTTCGTTTTTCAATAAACCTTACCCCTAAATAACCACTTACTAACTACTACTAACATTATTAAATATGTAGTTACACTAGGACTTTCTCATGTATCGTGGAAGCAGTTTACATACATAAATTTCTCAAGGATAAACATCCAGACCCGGCCCAGTTACTTGTCAAATACGAGTATACAAATACTTTTCCCGTGCGGGATTGAAAAAAAAAACAAATAGACTAGGCTGTATGGTACAAATTTTAATATTAAACAATGATGCTTTTTTTAAAAATGGAACATAAAACATTTCCCGCCAAAACCGTCAACAATGTTTACCTTCCTCGAAGCACTGCACGATGTTGCCGATGTAGGGCACGCAGGTGTTGACGCCGCCGGCGTGCGCCGCCGCGCACACGCCTCGGCACGCCGCCGGCACGCCGCGCCGCGCGCAGCACGCCTCGTGGTTGCGCCCTGCCCGACACAACCACACGTCATCCATTACTAATGAAGACTTCTTTCTATATATACTACTAGACGGACACTACCGGACTTTGCTCAGTAAGTTACGGTCAATTCACCGTAACTCCTTTAGTTGACTGCAAGAGGCCAAGAACACTAGTTCTTTGTTCTGCGAATGTTGTTTATGACAATCTAACATGATTTTGTTTAATGCGACTAAGAAAATGCTATCATTATTCATGTGCGCATGAGGTAGTGGATGTTTATACCGCCACTACATGGTAAGTCATCCATCCATCCATTACAAAAAGACCACAGCTCAAAATAGGCCTCCCTCAAAGATTGCCTCATAAGGCGGTTTCGTCATAGAATAGGATAATTGAATAGTAACTGCAGTTATTTTTATTTTATAAGTGTGAGTAGTTATCAAAAGAATGCTTGTTCCCATCTCCTACTTCAGTCTGCGTGCCCCTGTCGCCATCACTTTGTAATTAACATCACATCACATAATAGAATTCCATAGTCACCTACCCCATATCAACCCGTGGTTGTTCGCAAAAGGCGACAGAAGAAAATTAAATAGGCGATGGGTACTTGTACTTGCCACATGGGATGGAAAATCTGACAACGTGCAAACTATGGGGAAGGACAGCGGACTTTTATAAAGCTATAATTAATGAATGAACGAAGTTATTTATTTGAATTACAATCAGTGATCTAAAGGGCTTCATATACGGTACAATCCGTCGTTACGATCCGTCTACGACTGATCGAAACGAAGAATCTGTGGTGTATGTTACAATCTTTAGCGATTTACTTGATCGCAGGCGACGTCCTAGATCATAACAAAAACCCAGGAAATCTTGAATATCGTAACGATAAATCGACTATGTAGAGATCTTTGCGATCGACGATTCGATTTTGATCTCAGTCTTTCTTTTCTTTCTGCAATTGCTTTAAAATATTTATTAATATATAAATATTAATCGTTTTAATAGCCACTTTTTAACCCACACATTTCTTTTGTGTAGTTGGATTAAATTTACCGCCAAATAGGCATGGAATAAATGCTCATTTTCTAATTTAAAATATGGCTCGTAATTAATTATTCCGATTTCTGTCTGTGATAGCACGCCTTTGTCGTTCCGTTTCAAACAAGTAAATGATCGATCGCAACGACCAATCGTTTCGTGTATGAGCGGTAAGATTTGAGCGATCTATGATCACGATATCCTTCCAGATTGATCGTAACGACTAAGCGTAATCCTAGGTCTATGGTAACGACGGATCGTTTCATATATTGGAGCCCATAAAAGGTTAAGGTTAAGTAGGTTGCGGCTGAGGTGGAACTTAAGCTATCCCAAAGCTACACTTGTAAGATTTATAAGTTAGGTATAAAGTGATATGATATGATGGATAAACGGATGGTAGAAAATATCCCTAAGATTCTCTCGGAAACCGCATCTACGAGTATTACACAGTTTGCCGACTGTCCATACTTTACTTAGGCAGTTTAAACAATATTTCTCACATATTAAGAACTGTAATTCTTACTATATTTCAAAGTACGAAATAGATTTATTACAGTCACAACAGAACAGTCCTTACCTCCAGCACCGCAGCGCAGCAGCTTGTGGAACTCTTGCGCGCAAAGCGGCGCCAGAGTCCGCAAGTCGGACATCTTGGCATCGTACGAACATAACGGCATGCAAACTCCGGCCAATTGCACCCGTTCACAGCAAGCTGTCACGTTGTACGCATTGGAGTCTATTACCTCATCTTCTATCACCTATATTAAACATAGACAAGTAAATCTAAAGAAATAAAGTCAAAATAACAGCTTTTTACTAAGCATATGAAATATATACGGCGCATATAAGAAAAAAAAAAAACAATTTTTTTTAAAAATCCTGCCCGTCTGTCTATTTATCTATCTGTCTGTTTGTTTTGGCTAATCTAAGAACTGGCTGGACCGATTTTGACGGGGCTTTCAACGGCAGATAACTAATGCTAGTAGGATTAAATTAAGTGACTTTTATTTTAGAAACATACTTAGGGTTCCACGCAAAGTTAAAACTCATGAAACCCAAACGTAATAAACACGTGGTCACGCTGCAGCTAAATTTTGGTGGTAGCACGAATGGGTCGGCTCGACCGGGGAAGGACCACGCTCTCACAGAATACCAGCGTAAAATAGCAGCTTAATACTGCTGTGTTTCGTATGGTGAGTGTAGAGATCCGTAGACCCTTTTTTTACTGGAATCAAGGCATTCCATCTTAGTCCTCAGGGGTGACAACGCATCTGCATTTTGATTCTTAATCGAGGATAAATGTAGATGTCTATGGGTCGCAGCATCCACTTACCATCAGGTGGACCGAGTGTTCGTTGCCACCCTTTTTTTTAAATATTAAATATATAAAATTATGATTAAAAAAGCCTACTGCGAGCCTAGTGTGGTCGAACTAAGTTAAGATACATTTTATTTATATATCAAATGGTTAAATTAAAATCATTGGTATCATTTTATATAACTATACTTAGAATTATAAATTATAACTAAGAATATACTCATAATATAAGCTAAGTTAGGACTAGATTAACGCAAATCTAAAGTTTTAATATTGCAAGTTAGGAAAACTTTTTTCTTTTCGTTTTGTTGTTTCAATAACGTTACGTTACGTTGAACTAGGATTTTTCCTGTATTATAGAAGCAGCTTTCAAACATAAATTGCGCAAGGACAAACATCAAGACGCCGCCTATCAGGATTCGAACCCGCGGCCCCTGGCGCTGCGACTCGTTGCATAGCGACTGCACCACGGAGCCGTCATTTAAAAATAATCTTTCAATCATTATTGCAAAAAAAAAAGTATCAAAATAAAACACTCGTCAGAGATCGTCTTGGTACTTGACTTATTTTATTACTTTGATAATTTATTTGTTCCTTTTTCTCCGTCGTTTATTAAATTTTATTTATTCATTTCCCTACATAAGTAGAATAATAAATTTAATGGATGCCAATTTCATCATTAGAAGCTTTACTGATAAACCGTGCATATTACGTTTGCTTATCATTATTTCTTAGATCCCAAGTTGTTGATAAACTTTGTTTTATTTTATACCGAGTGACGACATCATTTAATCTTTATTAAAATTGACTGATTCGTGCAGTAATTGAAAATCCGTCGAACAATTCAGGAATTACAGAGGGACAAATAAACGGTCATATATTATACATATCCATCCAAAAATACTACCCTACATTTTACACCGTTTTGGACAGATATTTTATGCTGAGGTCGAGCTACTCGTATAATATAGAGTCGATCAGATTTATGCTGCATCCAGTTTAGCTGCAGCTTGCAGCTCTATCACGTTAAAAACCTTTATTTTTTAGAATTTTTGCAAAACAACGTCTGAATTTAATAATTGCCAATAGTGATTAAGAATTTTCTTGGCCAATGTGCTTACTAAACAGAATCTAATGAAAACATAACGACGGGTTGGATCTTGGTCAAACATTGGCCTAATATTGTTAAAAGAAACACAAACTATAAGCTGGTACACGTTGTACAATAAAAATGGGAAATTTCAATACATCCACTTACCTGACTTTGAGTCCTGAATATAAGTCTCGGCGAGGATTCTCCAACACCGTGTTCATTGGCAGCTTCCACGAAGATTTCATAATCTGTGTTCGACTCCAAATTCTCCAGAATGAATGGTGAGTGTACCTGTATAAAAAATGAATCCGACTATACATTTAACGATTAAGCTCGGATGCCGGGTGATTATATAAATATTGTTTATGCAAGTAAATAATGATGACATACAAGTACTCAGTCCTCCTAATGGAAGTGGCAGCTGTGGATGAACGTATACAAATTTACTCGAATAAGAATCATAATGCAAATACGTCATCACCCCTGAGGATTAAGATGAAATTCGCTATTACTTCAGAAAAGGGTGTTCTCGACAGTCACCTTACGAAATACAGTAACATTATGTTGCCATATCACGATGGCATTCTGTGAAAATGTCGTCCTTCGAGTCGACTCATTCGTGCTGCATGGCACTTTCAGGTGGAAAACTTTATCTGTATACATATCCCCGAGAGTGATTCACGTAGATAATGGAAATTTAGTATAGTAGAAACATGAATTTACCCAAATGCAGGCGTAAAATTAAAGTTAAAAAGCCCTAAAGGTTTAAAAATTGAGGCGATAATTTTTTCAAGATTATTATGTGTGGTTTAAGCACAACATCACTACTACGAGGACAGTATACAGCTTTTTTAATTTTTACATCTTCAAACACCGCCTATAGAGCCTGTAGGCATTAAGCCTCAACCATCCTTTTTTTAAGAGAAATGCTATAATTAATATGAAAATAAATAAATAAATAGCGACCTTATTTTCCTTTTTAAGACACAAATTTGTAAAATGTCTCGTACCTTCTTTAGGACACTGTAATCATCCTCGACGCTCAGTGCCCTATAATATAAGTTGTAGTATTGCACTGTGTCGGCCAGAGTCGCTGGTGGCGCCCAGTGCACCACTGCATAGTCCGTGTCGATGTTGGTGAGGTGCAACCTTGAAGGTGGCCCCGGGAGGACGCCGTATCCTTGTAGAAGGCAGTTGGTGTACGATGTCATGTACCGAAGACACCTTAAGTATTTCAGAGTTATTAGGATATATAAGTACACTTATAATAACTGCTACATATAATAACTAATGTAGTTCACCCGATGGCAAGTTGATTACGTGGTCTATAGACATCTTCATCTAATCTCGATTAAGAATCAAAATGTAGATGCGCTGTTACCCCTGAGAACGAAGATAGAGTGCCTCGTTTTTGGTAAAAAGGGTCTCAGATTTCCCATAATTACCATAGAAAACACAACAGCAAGTAGGCTACAGGTTGACCCGATCCATTCTGCTACAACTATAATAAAGCTGTAGCATGAATCTACCACATTTAACTACAGTAAGGGAATACAATAAAGTCCCTATGGTAACCTATAGATGACGGTATACCCTATTTCGTTTACGATAATATTATCAAAAGAAAAGTATTAAAAACAAAACATGTTAACGTTGTATAAACCCCCGTGTAATCCAATTTTTATAAACCCCCGATGAAATGGAAGTAATTAACAAAAAAAGTAGTTTTACCTTACTTATTTTCATTTAACCTTTTTAAAAGAGTTGTAAAGGACGTTCATTCACGATTTCTGTCATATAAAAAATTAATAATGACTTTTATTTGTCTTTCCTATTTCTTTGTCTAATGGGTAGTAGTTATATATTTTGAATCTATGGGGTAGGCCCATGTTCAGCAGTGAACGTTCGATTGGATGTTATGTTATTGAAGACATGCTACGCTGAGTCCAAATCTCTTGTTGTAAGGACAGGATGAGAAGGAAAGCGGACGTACTTGAAGTGGTTGAAGTCGAGGAAGGTAATGTTTCCGCTGCAGAGCGGCAGGCAGGGCTCGGGCAGGCCGCGCGCGCGGCAGCACGGCGAGTGGTCCAGACCGTTAGCGAGGCAGCCGAACGTCACGCCGGCCCACGGCGCGCACACCATCAGGTCTACCACCTGCAACTGACCGATGAAACGGGCCCGCTCTGGATGATAGTGCGTTAGTGACGGATGGCGGTGGAGTGCGAGTGATGGGCCGATATGAAATTGTGAAGTTAACTTATACTCATAAGTTGAAGTGTCTAGCCAGTAAGCTCAGAGGGTCACTTACATGCTATTGAGACGTAAACAATCACTTAAAAAATTCTATCTGTCTTTCTCTCTATTAGAGCTGTTTAATGATTTTAGTTCCTAAGCGCGAACATAGATAGCGCTGGCTGTCTGTTGCTTCGCGCATTGTAAATGTTTTATGATTTAATGACCCTCGGGTTCTTACAGCTCACAATATAATTGGTTTAATAGTACTGTTTATTGAATTTTAACTTCAAACACATACCTAACAATGGTTAAACTTTACTAACAGATAGAACGTAATGTCAGGAGGTATCTAGGCTATATTTTATATGCAGATTTTGGACACATTCGAAAAAAAAAAGAAAAATTCATGTTAAATCTAAAAATGGCAAAATTAATAGAGGTAGAGCCTTCTAGGGTGAAAAACCAAGACGGTTCGCTAGTCTATACATATAAATACAATTGAAGTAAGAAATTGTATTTTTGATATAACAGGCTTTTAAGGGGCTATAGTAACACAGCTCAAATTCAAATTTCGCTCACACTTCCCCGCGGGTCGTATGCTATATATCAACATGTTTGTAATCACTAATACTGTCACTAGATAGGTCGTTAGATACTTATTTCATTAGGTGTATCATATTTATGCCTGTTTCTTTACACCAACCCGGTCGCTTCTTATTTTTATTACGGTTATTTCTCATTTTAATTTTACGTCATCCTGTTGCGTAATGTGTATTCTGATCGTGACACAGCTTTCCCGTTCGAAAGCCGAAGCGAGACCAATCGGGCGGCAGCAAACAAGCTTCAAGATGCCGATAGTTTAGGCAATTTTTTTTATAGTGAAAATAATGGTAATAAAAAAATAAAAAAAAACATAAACCCTGCTTTGTAGTTAGTTCAGTTAGTATGCAAAGTTTAATGATCTAATTTAAAGTATTTTATGAATACTAGCGGTTTATTCAGTTTGGAGGTAACTTTGGATTTTTTTTCTATCGAGAACATTTTACAGAATCGTGTTTTCGATAATTGGTAGAATCAGGCGTTACTTTGCGGAAATCCATTATAATAAAAAATTAAAATATAAATTTCTTTGCAACCTTCCGCTAAATAAATACAATGATGTGTCTTACCTGGATTGAAGAGCACTCCCGCCCTCCCTCAATTGAATGCACTAACTCCGTCACCACTAGTCCCAGCACCACTACTCCCAACACCACTATTCAGGTAAGACACACCATCGACGATAATACGACACTGTTTTGCCTCTACAGGAGGCATCTTCAGGTAATGTAGACTCTACGGCGGCTGACCGTTAAGTATCGTGTTTTCGTCTAACATAGTACTTAACATTAATCCTCAAATTTACCATATGTTTATTTCAAAATGAATGCTGCAATATTTTCGGCATAACGCAGGATCTTGCTAAGCCATTTGAGGTAGTATTTTTAATATTTCCCCTTAAACTCGGAGCTCATTTGCATGTTGTTATGATATAAACAATTTTTTTTTAATTTTTGTCTCTTTGTCTGTCTGTTCGGCCGAAGTAATTGTGATGAAACTTCACGAATTGATAAAGAGCTGTGGCAAGACAGATATTAGCTAAGCTATGTTTAATGCGATAATCTAGATTAAAAATATTGATGTAATAAATGGTATTTGATGATCTTATAGACCCCATCTACGCGAAGCCGAAACTGATTGTAGCGGCGCTGTCGTCGCGCCACAATCGAAATACACCGAAGTCTAAATCACGCTATCAACATTCCGAATCAGAAACAATATATATAGAACATCTCCGAACTATCACATGGAGTGTTGGCCGCTCCCCGGGCAGAACACCTTGCCTGGCTGGAGATCTCCCCTTTTCTTTCCATACCGGCCACACTGATCGCTAGTTAAAAATACGTGCGAAGAAGCGAAAACCGATGGAGAAGACTAGTTCGTAAATAGCAGCCTCAGTGAACCGTAGTAAATTTCACAGAACGCGAGCAACCCAGGTTCGATTCCCGTCGGTACCAATGAAATTGTAAATTGCAATTTTAATTGCTGGTTGGTGCTCAGCGGTGAAGGAAAACACCGTAAGGAATCCTGCATGTCAGAGAAAAAAGAAAAAAATCAAAGACATGTGAGTTCGCCAACACTACCTTGCCCTAAAGCCGTCTCAGTAATGAGAGGAGGCCTGCGCCCAGCAGTGCGACGTATAAAGACTGTAACTTTTTATTTTTTGTAATGATTATGATGAAAATAATTACAATTTTTTTAGTGAGCGCCTATCAAAATCATAACGTAAAGCGTTTGCAATAGTGATTGCTTATAACTTTATTGTTTAAAAAAAAGATTACAAACGAGCACTTAATGACAAGTAGCTATTGTGACTCTAACACATTTTCAAATCAAGTCAGTTTTTTACCTCACCCTCATATTCGTTACTCCCGAAGATACCTTTGATTACGATTGTCCCGTAATGTAATGTTTAATTAATGAATGTAATGTGTGGAATTAAAAAAGTAGATATGAAACTGTACCAAATGGTCCATGAACACACACCGTTACCAGTTCCCGAAACTTACGTTGATTTCAAATATGTTGGTCGGGTCGCACAGGTTGTCCACGCAGCTGTAATGCTTGACACCGCCCGACAAGCAGCACTGTCTCACATCTGGCAGCTTGGGAGCGGGTGCTACTTGCGTGGTCTTCATTTTACCAGGGGTCAGTGTTAATGACCTGTTAGGCAGAAGTAACAAAGAATATAATAAAATATGCAGTAAATACGACGTGTATTGACTACGTGAGGGATTCCGGTATCCCATATCACCCATGTGTGCACAAGAGAAATGAAACCGGCGATGGGCAGCAGCATTTTCCTGATAACAGGTTAATATTTAAAAAAAGCCGTTGCGAACTCACTCGCCAAGCGTGGCACATGTGGCATAAATCACTCCTATAAGGCAATCTATAGAGAAAAGCTTTTGTTCAGCATAAATTTGCTTTTGAACTGTCTGCATTCATTATTTCTATATGTCCAAACTACCGAAGCATTCCTTTCTTAGTACTAGCCACAGCATTTTCTTGCAAATCACTGTTTTCTCTCATCTTCATAACCTTAACCGACAAGCATGTATGAGATATGTGGATGAGATAAAAGTGTCAGTTGTCAGGATCACGCCAAACACGGTGCCGATTTGTTAAGAAATTGCCAAATAAATATCTCTTCTTATCTTTGTTTCAAATGAAAGTCCTTAATTTCTGCCTACCCCTGTATAATCAGACGTTGAAGTTTATGCTTGTTATTTTGTTATTTTGAATATTGAAATTGAAATACGAACTTTAGAAATTCCGATGGGATAAAAAGATTCACTAGTGGCAGTCTCGTATCGAGTAAAGCCTCTCCCTTTAGATGAGTGATGACCTGGTAAGAGATATAGGAAGTCGATGGTTTCTGATGGTTCAGGACTGTGACTTGTGTTATTCCTAGGGAAAAGCCTATGTTAAGCAGTGGTCGTGTGAAGGGCTGTTAAGATGATGACGATGTTGATGATGGTAGTGAAATAATAAAAAATAAAGATCATCTATTCCGAAACACTAAAATCATACCTCAATATATATTCATAGGCACTTGAAAGATAAACGCCTCGTTTAAATTCTATTGGAACTTACCTGACAATGTAACTCGGAAGACTCGATCCATGAATATTGTACGAAGTTACTGTAATCTCATACGTAGTGAATGGCAGCAAATCGTTGAGAATCAGGAACGTTTTGTTCGCTTGCACTTTGTGAGTCATCGATTGAGTCATTTTAGTTTCGTTCTTCATCGAACTCTCAGAAGGATCGATGAGGTGAGCGTCAAATGACCTGAGTGTGGTCACGTTTACCATGTACTCTACGACCGTCTCCGCGTTTTCGACAGGCGGACTCCACGACACATTTAACTGTTTCTCATTAAGAGGTTCCACTTCAACATCTACTGGTGGACTTGGGAGGAGTTCTGCAAAATAAATTGTAGTTATATTCGATGTTCCCATTCACGCTTTTAAATGATGACCGAGTGTGTGAGTGCTAGGTAGAAGTGAAGAATCTGCAGAATTTTGAAATTAGACTGACTATCACATTTTATGCGTCAGTAAAAATGATATTTTTTAAGAATGCTCATTTCATTCGGTTTACAAGAATTATTGAATGGTCTTTAGTATCGCAACCAAACTCAACAATACATTAGACAGACAGAATCAACAATATATTAACATAATTGTCGCTTAAATCTTAATTAATATATGGTAATCAGAAAATGTATTTATTACAGTAATTTTAATGAATTAAGAATATCACTTAAACCTGACCGCCTAAAGCATCTTATCTCTCCACTCTAAGGTTTACGGGAAGAAAACTCTTTTAGAGCTAGATCCACTTTTGTTCATACCTAAACAGAAAGGCAGTTCAATAGAAAAGTATAAAAATAAAACTACAGCTCACCTATACCTTCGACGATACACGCAAGTGTTTTTTCCATGTAAGTAGCACAGGAGTAATGTGTCTTAATATTGTCGGTAACCGGGGTGAACTCGCCCCGGCAGACATCTTGACAAATGTCCGGTACGTGCTCTTGAACACAACAAGGCACGTGGTTACGTCCGTCGGCCATACATCTGTGAACATTGAATGATATTGCTTTTTCCGCCTTTGATAATGGAGTCATGTAACCAAAATTCTGAATCTAAATTTAAGGTTTAGTTTTAAGTGTCAGGTGTCCATGGGTGGTCCATATTGGTGACATATCATCAGGTGGACTGTAACTTGGTTTGTCACTTCTATGTTATATTGGATATATATAAACAATCAGGGAAACCATGCATATGTAAAAAATTGAAAAATATAAAAAAATTGAATTTGTGTAAGTTCCAAGTCATTTGACCCAAATCGTAAAAGGTTTCATATTATTTACTATATTTTGCACTAAACGCCAACTATGGCGACCGTTACCGTTACCGTTACAGCCTATTAAAGTCCACTGCAGAACAAAGGCCTCCCCCATAGATTCCTTCATAAGGGGGATATTGCCATAGTTGCCACGCTTGGCAAAAGGGATGGCACCACAGTTTTTTTATTCGTTATTAGGAAGACGCATTAAATGATGTTAGGAAGTAATAAGTACGAAATCCACGAAATAGCTGAAAATACTAGAAAACTGTACTTGCCAAGCGTAGCAACTATGGTAAATTATGGTGTAATCGATGGGCTGGAATATGTTCAGCAGTGGAATTGAGATGAAATTATAATGACGATAATGATGATTAATTTTTAGTATGTGGTATAGCTACGCTTCAAAAATTTATCGTCGAGAAAGAATTTTAATGAAAGCTTCATTTAAATTCTTTCTCAACCATAAATTACACAGAATACTGGCGTGAAATAATCTTAATATATATATAAATTACGTGTCACGTTGTTTGTCCGCGATGGACTCCTAAACTACTTAACCGATTTTAATCAAATTTGCACACCGTGTGCAGATTGGTCCAATTTGAGAGATAGGATAGTTGTTTTGCCCATGAGTAACCCACAATTTCTTTTTTACGAATTTATAGATTTTTAATAGGACATCACAAAGGGTCGTCAAAAAGGGTAGAACAACGTCTGTATAGCTAGCTAGTATTATAATAGGTCAGCTGTAATTCGTAGAATGATTGAAGAGAAACGGAGGCCCTTGTTACTGGAAATGAGGCTTCCTAATTGTCAGAAGCGATGCATCTGAATGTTTAAAATCGAGATGTAGTTACCATCTATACGACATAATATTATCTATCCTACATGAGGTGAACTATTAAGCCGCTCAAAGATTATCAAAAATATGGAAATATACCAAAAAAAGGCTTACTTTACTATAGCGGGAAAATCTGGCTGGCATATTTCCGGATCCTGTCCTGTTCCTTCTAGGATTGTCTGTATGCTGCAAAACCCTAAGCAGGCAGTGCTCACATTGGCGCTCAGGCAGCAGTCAGTGTAGTTGTGAGCCAGTGCCAGTGATGACAGTGTGGGCACGTTCGCTGAGTAAGCATCTGTCGAGTTCTGGCTCTCAGGCGGTGTGAGACCACGGGAAATTACTGCAAAGAATTTCATGTTCAATACTACGTTTCATATGTTTCTGAATGAAACTAGTTCTGAACTTTAGGCCTGAGCACTACACATTTGAATAAAACTAGTTTTACGGATTAATATTCAATCAAAACGTCGCTCGAACGCCCGAAACGTTAATATACGCTATAAAATCCGTACAAACTAATTTTATTCAGGCCTGAAGTTAGGAACAGGTTAATAAGACAAGACACCTCAGGCCAATGATGCAGCAAAGTACTCGAAAATTCGAGATTATATCTATTTATTTATTTATTTTAAAAACTTACCTTCAGCTAAAGGGTACATAGGGCGGACTTAATGCCATGTGGCATTCTCTGCCAGTCAACCCTGGGTGCCAAGGACAATTGTTGGCAGGTGCGACCATTATACATAAATAAGTGAACATACATTAAAATATACATATATACAAAGTACATACATACACAATACATTTAAATATACACACATATTAATGTTTGAATAATATATAATGAAATAAATATTTGAAGTAAAAAAAGAAGAAAAGAAAGACAAAAATAAAACGAACCCATTACAGGCATTTTCATATTAGTAGATTTTTGTATATAGTATAAAAAATATAACAAAATGATGGCGGTGTTTCACCCCCGTGCCTCGACAAGCACGTAAAGCAGTATGTCCTGCTCCTGATTTTCTCTCCGGTTGTGTAGGATTGCCATCCCAACGCGTTATGAGAGTTGAGGGATTAGAGAGTACACCTGTGCTGATACATGCTTGGGCACTATAGTTCTGTCCTGCTTAGATGGCTTAGACTCCGTTAAGACTGGCCGCTGTGACTGAAATTCGGTATAGAAGACGTTTTTGTAGTATTATATGATATAAAACTTACCAGTAAGACGATGAAAACTCCTCACTGGGGGCTCGGTGTTCAGTTCACACATATAGAGACCTGCGTCAGATGGTTTCACGGACCTTATCACCAGGGCCCACACGTCACCACCCTTCCGTATCCCGGGACCTTTGAGTGGCATATCAGCTGTGATGGGAAAAGGAAATAGATTTGGTTGTGTACAATATGTAATTATTTTGATTGTGACGTCACTTAAATATTTTTAATCAGTGGGATAATGTCAGTGCTAAACGTGTAGTGGTGGTGTAAGAATATCCAATTCCCCATACTCTCCCGTGGGTGCCGTGAGAGGCGACAGTGGGAAACTGAAATGGGTGATTGGCAGCAGCATCTTCCCGATAAGATCTCAAAATAAAAAATATTCCTGTTGCCAACCTGCCTGACAAGCGTGGCAACTATGGTCTCGGGGCATGCAAATATCTCTCCATGAACCCTCTTATGGGGAAGGCCTATGTTTAGCAGAAGACTTTTGATAGGCTGTTACGGTAACAGTAAAAGTCGATTTAAAGGACGTATAAGGAATAAAATACTGCCTCGTTAGTGTAGTGGTTGTAGTAATGCGACTGATGATCAGGAGATCTCGGATTCGAATCCCGGGTCGGGCCAAAAAATATTAGTTATTGAGTTTTTCCATTAAGAAATTTTCAGTAACTGTCCGGAGTCAGAAGGTTGGCGGTGTCTCATCTTGTTCCTTGGAAAGCATGTAAAGCCCTTGGTCCTGCGCCTGATCTCTCTCCGGTTGTGTCGGTTTACCGTCCAGTCTTACGATGAGAGTAAGGGAATAGTAAGGGAATAGTAAGGGAGTGCACCTGTGCTTGCGCATACACTTGGGCACTATAATCCTGTCGTGCACCGATGGCTAGTCTCTGTTGAGGCTTGCCGCTGTGACCGGAATTCGGTCTGGAGTCACAAGGAATAAAATAATTTCATATTGCTCTATATACTTATTGTCTTGGCATCGGCTTCATAATAAGAATTTTTTTTTAATTATTTGAAGGTAGCTTTAAATTTTTTAAAAAATATTTTTACGCTTATCTATGATAGCGGGTTCCTTCTCTGGTGGCTCTAACACATTACAATTTAAATATTTTAAAATTTTGCCGCGTAATAAAATAAAATAATGTGTCTTATCTAGTTTGAAGAGCACTTCCCGCCCTCCGTCAATGCGTGCTTTATTCCCGTCACCACTAATCCCAGCACCACTACTCCCAACACCATTATTATATTTAGGTTTTCTTTAACATCAGAATAGGAAAGATACATCATCCTCAATAATACGACACGTGTTTACCCTCTACACAAATTATTCCAAGTGATGTAGACTCTGCGGTGGCTGACCGTTAAGTGAGCGGCGAGCTACATTACAATTTTTCATAGATAATATGACGTTACGCTAAATAAAAAAGATATTCTATACGATTTTTTTACTAATTTGAACTAAGTTGGTAAGGACTCCTTCTTCCGGCCGGGAGTATGTCAGCAATGCTTGCAATACTGTGTTCTGGTCTGAAGGGTATAGAGGGTCCGTAAAATTATAGACTGTGAGGTATTCCATCTTCTTCAAGTGCTTACAATTTTGAGTTCTATTCAAGGGTATAATGTGTAAAGGATAAAAGGTTGTAAGCACTCAAGAGTCTTCTGAGGTTTTTTTTACAAAATAAGGGTGACAAACGAGCACACAGTCTACCTGAAGGTAAGTGGATGCTGTGGCCCATAGACATCTACATTTATCCTCGATTAAGAATCAAAACACGGATGCGTTGTCATCACTGAGGACTAAGATAGAATGCCTCGTTTCCATTAAAAAAATGGTCAGCGGTTTTCCACACTCACCATACAAAATGCAGCAGTATTAAGCTGCTATTTTACGCTGGTATTTCGACCCATTCGTGCAACAACCATAATATATAGCTGCAGCGTTTACCATGTATATAAAAGGTGCCAACCCATCTGTGTCCTTCTTTGTCTGTAGTTGGTTACAGGTGTCTATTCGCTGCACTAGCCATTTACCACCAGGTGAGCTGTAAGTTCGCTTATTACTATCAACAAGGTCACTGCTGAACATAGGCCTCCCCGAAAAATCAACTGCATCCATCGACTTTCTGCATATCTTACCAGGTCATGACTCCATCCAGTAGAGTGCCGCTCTACACTTTCTACTACACACTCTACACACACTCTCGATAACCTTGCTTATTACTTTTTTTTAAAGTTTTCCGTGTAAATAATAAATCATAAGTTTCCCAAGTGTTATATTAGACATAGACATCAACTTACACTCATATGGTTCTGATACAGAAAATAAAAATATATATAAAAATATCAAAGATAAAAAATAAATAAGAGAAAACAGACATGAATGATCCAACAACTCTTATGCCTTTTATATTTACTCTCTTCACTCTAAGAATAAAAAGCAGGAGAAATGTGCGAGATAGTAATTGAAACTCATAAAATGTTTTCGAGCCTTAAAATTTTCTTTAAAAAGACCTTTCTAAAAAGGCAGACTCATTCTGAAATAAATTGCTACCAAAGTTAAAGAAATGACAAGCACAAGTTATGCAAAAAGAAGAATCTCTTTGTTACAGTATATATTTGGAATACAGATAAAATAGGCATTAAAACGTCTTCTATCACAATCCAGTTGTAATCACAGAGATTGAGCGATCAAAGCAAAACGTCACGTCTGATTAATGTAATAAAAACGGATTTCGCTTGCAAAGGGCAAATCTGACTAGACTCTACAGTTTATAGCAGAAGCCGCATTTATTACTGAAAACGCGTGATAAAATTCTAAGGACGTACCACTAACAGTAAACGTGCTCGGAAAGCGAAAACAAATAGTTTAGAGGTAATATTCTACTGATATTGATATTTAAATATAAAAGGTAAAAAATACAAAGCATCTTTATACGTAATGAATTCTTACGTTTACGTGAACACTTTTCAATGAGTTTATACAAAGTATACTATGATATATTTTCTTGTAATAATTATGACAAACGAACACATAGTCCATCTGATGGTAAGTGTGTGATGTCGCCCATAGACACCTACGTCTATTCTTGATTAAGAACCAAAATGCATATTCGTTGTAACCCTCAAGCACGAAGATTGAATGCCTCGAGTCCAGTTTAAAGGGCCTTTCGTTCCCTACACTCAACATATAAAACACACTACCATTATGCTACAATTTCACGTCAGTATTCTGTAAGAGCATATTAGTCCCCCGGTAGAGCCATTTGTGCTATAACCATAATATAATTTTATAATATACCTACAGCAGCTAATTCCTAAAATCGAATTGTTTTATTTTACGATTTTGTTGACCAAAAATTCATAATTAAAAGGTAGCAAGACGTTAACATCTTAATAACTCGTGACAATAGATGCTGAAAATTGCGGAAAACGTCAGAAATTGAAAAAGTTTAAATTAAACGCGATAAGATCCGTAAATTTCTCTCTTCAATCTTTAGATGCGTAACACATTATGAGGTAAGAAGTAGCTTAAAGCCTTAAATAGAAGCATATTAATTAGTGGATGGAATGGATATATCACAAAAAAATAATAAAATATTTGTACATTTTAAAAGACACTTCGATATTTAATTTTTTTCTTTTTGACTATCTGACTACCATTTTCATTTTATTCCTCAAAATGAGACTATAAATATAAATAGACGACTATAGTGTAAAGACAGATAGATTTATTCGTTCTTAAAAAACTTAATTAATGTTAACAATACGCAGGCTTAAGGTTTAGTGCCGTGTGTGTCCTACTACTATTATCTAGATGTTAGTGCTGTTAGTCTATGCGACTCTTACAGCTTCATCTGTCTCAGGCAGCTTCATCTGTCTCAGCGTGTGTGTCCTAGGCGGTTTGAGAAATTCGCTGGTAGAATAAATGTTATAAGTATTTAGTACCAGCATCATATTTTTTTAATATTTTGAACATAGCCATACTTTATACATTTTTGTATATGATTATAATATAATATAATTATATGTTCGGTTTCTTTGTATTCTGTTCTTTGTATATAAGGAATGTAGTTGTATACGTTCTTGTGCAGTTAAAATGCAGTTGAAGTAAAGCTTGCTTAATAATTTCTAACAATAGGCGATTACTAGTAGCTATTATTAAAAGAAAGTCGTTATCGAAAATACTATATAGCGTGTTACTGAGCGATACATTTAAATTAAGGTTAAGCAAAGTCGCGACACCTGCGATTAACACTGTTACGTTGATCGAAGTGCACCATTAATGTATTTCTACACGATTTAAAGATGAAGTAAACACGCAATGAACAGTTTTACTTGCTTGAACGACCACCTAAATCGACAGTTCGTACTATTGACCCAAAATAATTTGCCAATATTTTATGTCAATGTTTTATTGGTCACGCTCTAATACTGCGAAGGTATGTCATATTTTATATCATTATTATAGTGTTTTAGGTTAATATATTAACATAATATTATGCATACAGTAATTTAATAATCCACCGTGTAGTGGCGGTGTAGGGTAATCCACTACCCCATATATCTTCATGTGGGTATCGTAAGAGGCGACAGAGCGAAACAAATTAGTGGATGGACAGTAGCGTCTTCTTAATGACAATTAACAAACGGTAAAATTAAACATTTTGTAAAACAACTACACTGTAATACTACAATATAAATAAAATGAGAACATCGTAATTGTGGTCAAAGTCAGTTAAATAGCCATCATTTAAGATAAACCAGAAACTACTGGTTCAATCTTGATCAAATTTATATAGGACCTCATGAAAAGCACCAGCTTTTAAATAAAAAATGAATCATCAAAATCAGTTAACCTAGAAAAAAGTTCTGAGGTAACACACATAAAAATACAGTAGAATTCAGAACCTCCTCATTTTTTGAAGAAACTATGGCAAATACGAGTATCCTGTCTATGAGACAATCCTATGGGGATGCCAATCTTCAGCAGTAGACTTGGAGGGGCTGCAACGGTAGCAATAATTTAATAATCACATTCATATTTCATTCATTTAAAAATATGAAAAAGTCTTCATATGAAAAAATAAGACTAAAAGTACAATTTCATAATTTTTAATAATATTTTTTCAAAATGTAAATTATTTATATAAGAAGTATTATAAATATACATACGTGGGATTGTATAACGTTAATAAGGAGGGGGCTCCAAATATTGTAACATGTTCTCACAGGGATAGAAAATAAAGTACTATTTTAATATTTATATCTGATAGGTACATCGTCATATCTGAATTACATTGATGTCGATGGCATTCCTAAAAAAATTTGGCAGAAATAAAATTTAAGTATCCTCAAAATTTGCACCATGGCAAATCAACAGCTTTAAATAAATTTTTTGGTAAATCACGTGGTAGAGCCACGTTGTAGCTATATTATGGTTGAGGCACGAATGGGTCGGCTCGACCGGGGAAGGACCACGATTTCACAGAATACCAGCGTAAAATAGTTGCTTAATACTGTTGTGTTTCGAATGTTGAGTGTAGAGATCCGGAGACCCTTTTTTACTGGAAACGAGGCATTCCATCTTAGTCCTCAGTTTCAAGGCACTTCCCTTGTTGCCTCAGCCAGTAGTGGAATCCTCGGCGTCGACATATCGAGTGACGTGCAGTTTCGTGGTCACTTGGAAGCGAAGGCCAAATTGTATGTAAGCTCATGTAAAGACGGTATTTCATGCCGGTACACCGCCTGCAACTTTACAAGGCGCAGGTTCGGCCGAATATGGAATACTGTTCTCATTTCTGGGTTGGGGCTTCCCAATGCCAGCTTCTTCCTCTTGACCGCATCCAGCGCAGAGCGGCTCGAATCGTCGACGGCCAAGTGCTTTCCGATCGGCTCGATTCACTGGCGTTGCGAAGAGATGTTGCATCTATTTGCGTATTTTATCGCATCTATCACGGGGAGTGCTCTGAGGAATTGTTCGGATTAATACCAGCCGTCAAATTTCATGAACACACCACGCGGCAAACCTTCCGATACCATCCACACAATCTGGATGCTTGGCGGTCGACCACTGTACGTTTCACTAGGAGTTTTCTTCCGCGTACGACCTCTCTGTGGAATAGTTTACCAGGATTTTGGAGATACGACCTGGGGTTCAAGAAAAGAGCTTACTCCTTTCTAAAGGGCCGGCAACGCACCTGCAATTCCTCTGGTGTTGCGGATGTTCATGGGTGGCGGTAGTCACTTAACATCAGATGAGCCGTATGCTCGTTTGCCCCCTCTTCTATAAAAAAAGTCCTCAGGGGTGGCAACGCGTCTGCGTTTTGATTCTTAATCGAGAATAAATGTAGATGTCTATGGGCCACAGCATTTACTTACCATCAGGTGGATTGTGTGCTCGTTTGTCACCCTTATTCTTATTAAAATAAAAAATAAATACTCCTATAAATCTGTCGATTGATCTCTCGGTCGAAGTTGAACTTACCTAATAAAATAGACCAACTACTTGGTAGTTGAACTATTACATATAAACATACTTGACAACTAAACATACTTGTCAACTTCGGGCGTACTGCTCCTAACATCTACCGGCATAGGTGTGAGAAGGACATACATGACCTTTGTTCTGTCAATGTTCATCTTAAGATCTATCCGTTACCGTAGACCAGACCGCAGTATAACCATAGTAAGCGACATAGCGCACCGGATTAGTGAGCTGAAGTGTAAATGGGCCGGCCATATATCTCGAGGAACTAACAAGCGGAGGGGAAGAAAGGTTCTCGAGTGGCAACTTTGTACCGATAAGTTAAGTGTAGGGTGGCCCCCCACTGAATAGAGTGACGACTTGGTAAGACATGCAGATGCCTCAGGACCCTACACTGTGGCATTTATTGGGGGAGCCCTGTGTTCAGAAGTGGACTTAGAAAGGGCTGTAATAATAGTGATGGTGTTGATCACTGCTATAAATATAAAGGTAGATTAAGAAACGCTGTTAACAGTTTAAGTATAAAAATATTATACTCACAATCGTCGTGTAACACCTGCACTCTCTCATCTCTTGTCACTCTCACTCCACCAGCTGTCAATAGCTTGAGGTCTCTGGCTCTCTTCCACAGAACCGGTTGTCCCCTAGTCCCCAACACAACGCATGTTAAAAGTGCGTCTTCTCCACTTCTCACAGAAATTCCTCCTGCTGGTGCTCGCATCCATATTTCTTTAGCTTCCTCATCTTCTTGTGAACTAGCCGAGACGCTTGCGCTTTCAACTGATTCTCCTTTTGTCTCTGCATAAAAGAAATGGTGAGATTATAAACATAATTCTTTTTCTGTCCCGTATAAGTCTAAGTATAAGTTATAGTATAAGTATACGTGGCAGAGCCGTGCTACAGCTATTTTGTGATTGTAGCACAAATGGGTTGGTTCAATCGGGGAAGAACTATGCAATCACAGAATACCAGCGAAAAGTAGTAGCTTAATGCTGCTGTTTCATATGGTGAGTGTAAAGAAATGTAGACGAATATGAGGCACTCCGTCTTAGTTCTCGGGGATGACAACACATCTGCCTTTTTATTCTTAACCAGAGATAGACGTAGATGTCAATGGGTCACAGTATCCACTCACATTCAGGTGGACTGTATGTTCGTTTGTGACCCTTTTAATAAAAAATGTCCAGTCCTGATCTTTGGCCTCCTCTGTTGTAATGACAATACATCTTAACTGTCACGCTTAGCAGGCGTAAGCCTTGATATTTCTGGTATATAAAATAATTCTATACATTTCATCGTTTCATATGAAATAAACATTATGCGATCTTATGTACAAATTTACTTTGGAAACAAACTTCCACGTTAAACTTTGTTTCAAATGACTTCTACGCATTAGAACCGTGCAGTAAAAGCTTTGGAACTTGTGACGAAATGGAAGTGATTAATATTTTGACGGATGGTTGAAGAGTTTTAATATTAAAATTTATATATCACCAGGCACATAAGTAATAATTAATTTTACGAAGTTGTTTATAAGTTATACAGAGGCTTACTTTTTGACACACGCAAAATTATTTATAGTCTGAAAGTACATATTATATGCTACTAATATGCTGCTAAAAACAAAAGTCCTTCGCAATAAAAAAGCATGTGCGACACGACTTCTTGATTTTATTCATGTGGTGACAAAGAGCTTTGGCGGGAACTTCATCGCAAGTAGATTGAATGAATATTATACACGTATATTTTTAAAAGGAGTAGCCAAATTTTAAACCAAATATATAGACAATTATATAGCGTTATTATAGTTTTTGAAAATACGAGTAAATAAGCCTTTTACTTTTATGTGACATTATCCCAAATTGAATGTGATTTATGTACAACAACAGAAACAGAAACTTTTTTATTCAATATAGATTATAAACAATACTTATTGAAAGTCAATTTTTATTTACCACTGGTTCGCAAACAAAGCCTCTGTCCTGGGAAGAACCAGCAAGAAACCCAGCGGGGCTATTTTTTTTCCAAATAATAGCTTACAATCATGTTTACAATTATCAACACAAGACAAATTAGAAATAGCTTGGTAGCGATCACCCTTCCCAGGGGTTATTATCATCCATAAATTCCTTAATATTATAATAACCCTTTTTATACAAACTTAGTTTAATAACATTTTTGAAATTTGTGTATGACAAATTTTGTATATTTTCTGGGATTTTGTTGTAAAAGCGTATACATCGGCCCCAAGAATGAATTACTGACTCGGTGGAGTCGAGTAACTGGTACTACTAGCTTGTGTCTGCTCCTAGTATTTACAGAATGAATATCACTTATTTTTGCAAAACTACGTTTATTCTTGTGAACGTTTTTACCTACCGAACGACTCCAACAAATGTGTGCAAGCGAAGGATAAGTTAAAATAATGCATTACAGCGCATTTCGAATTTAAAAAATAAGAGGACAAAATCATAGATTTTTTTGGCCTTTTTACAAAGTGAAACAATTTTATATATTAATTATCTGAGAATGTGAAATATTGGCAAAAACGTTAAAACATGATCTATAACATAGGCGATACCATCGTCATTACATATTTGCTGCGGTAAGAATTTGCTAAAATTTTTCATATTAATATAGCGTGAAATGTTTTCTAAACAAAATACGCGTCTAACTAGACTATATGGGCATAATTCCATTTACCTTTTAAACATTTAAAATAAATTATTATCGACTAGTTGATAAGCGATTAGAAAAGGTTATCCATTCGATTAAACAGTAGGAAGACGGAGTGATTACTTGATGAAACACGTAAGTAGTCGATTGATAAAGGAGACTTAGCAATTATTAATTTTAACAAGTCATTTTTGGGTGTGATAATAGGTAAATCTGGGAAATGAAAAAATCGTACGGCTTCTGTTAGATCTGGTACATATCTCGCTTACGCCAGACTCAAAATACCTAAACCAGCGAAAAGAAGCAATGTCAAAAGTTTTTTTTATAGAATAAGAAGGACAAACGAGCACACAATCCACCTGATGGTAAGTGGATGCTGTGGCCCGTAGACATCTGCATTGATCTTCAATTGTGAACAAAATGCAGGTGCGGTGCTAGCCCTAAGGACGGGTACGGCCTCATTTCTAGTAAAAAGGGTCTCCGGATCTCTACACTCACCACAGGAAAGACAGCAGAATTAAGGTGGAGAGTTTTGGCGGGAACTTGGCCGACGACGGACTGTCGCTCCTGTTTTGTCGCTTGAATAATGGCTTGAAGTGGATTTTAATTCGTAAAAGTGATGTAATTTTGTGAATTAAGTGTCTGCGCGTGTGAACTATTAGAGAAAACGACAAAACAAGTGCTTTGATGGTGATATAAACCTCAAGTTAATTTGATCACTTGGGCGCCTTATGAACATGAGTGGCTGTCATCAATAATCCGCTGGGTTGAGGTTTCGTCAAAATCTCCCAAAAACTTCCCAATGTGACGCATCAGCATATTGTGAAGATAAAATACATAAAATGAAGATTCTGAATGAAATGATAGGCTCAGAAGGGCTAGTACCCAGAGCCGTAAAGCCAGTTAAATAAAAAAAATAGAATTAAGGTGCTAATTTACGCTACTATTCTGTAAGAGCGTGGTCCTACCCCAGTCGAGCCTACCCATTCGTGCTGTAACCACAATATAGCGGCAGCATGGCTCTATCACGTTTCTAAGATCGCGAGCGGGTCTGCCAACCGTGGTGATTATAGCTAATCGTCCCTACCCTTGTCCTGTATACATCGTTGGTCTACTACAGGCTGAAGAGGAAGAAGGAGAATAAGAATTAACTCTTCACTTAAATGTGTAAATTGATATAAATATTAAAGTTTTTGGGTATTAAAGAAATGAAATTAATCTGAAAAATTACATTGTAAAAGTATAACCACCGTTTTGTTGACGTTTAACAGACTAAATAGAAATATTGAAAGAAAAATCAAGTCTAGAAAATAAATATGATATATCAATTCACTCAAATATATGACTTTTAACACAGCTTCGAGCACTTCTGCTCCACGCCTCGGAAGTAGTGCCACCATGAAGGATAGAATTAAAGAGCTTCTAAAGGACTTCAAGTACCGATTTTCCACCCGCTTTCAGAAGCTCCGCTGTAATTTCATCCTCGCCCAGGGACTTGCCGTTTTTAAGGTGCTGGAGAGCCATTCTAACCTCGTTCAGACTGACATCCGGGATATCATCGGAATAGTGTCGGATAAGACTTGCTCTTGGATCGTCACTCACACTTGCGTGTGGCTCTAACAATGATGTGTACAGCTGCCCATAGAACCTCTCAATCTCACTCAAAATCACAGGTGTCCCAGAAACGATGCCGTCACATACAGTCTTCAGCTTTGACAGTTGGCTCTTTGACAGATCTCTGGCAAACACTTTGGAGCCCTGATTCCGCTCAATCGCTTCTTCAATACGAGCTGTATTGAAGTTGTGTACATCCTGCCGCATGCATTTGGAGATCTGTCTGTTCAGTTGTTGACGACTGCAGCTTCATTTCCCGTCTAACGTCCATGAGATTAAGAGTGTGATCAGAGAGTTTTTGTGTTCTTCTGCGGCGGGTCTTGTAGAACTTAGCATGGACAGATTCCACGAGCTTGTCATTCATATCTTCCACTGTATTGCAGTCATCCAGGTACTGAAAGTGATTTTGTAACTCGATCTGAAAGGTTTCGGGATTCTGGATTAGAGCACGAGAGGGATGGGGCGTTGACTTCGTTAGACGAGACTTATCTAAATTAACGTTTAGGTTCAATGTGCCTCTAACCATTCAGTGATCGCTGCCAGTTTTTATCCTCGCGATCACTGAGATATCACTAAACAGTTGGCATCTGGTCGTCATAATGAAGTCAACCGCATTTTTTGTCAAACCGTCGGGGCTCGACCAGGTCCAATTCCTGTGGGGTCGCGTCTGGAAGAAAGAGTTCATTATAAAGAGTCCCTCTTTCTCCATGAAGTCGGCCACCTGCTGGCTCCTTGGGTTCCACGGCCCCACTCAAAATTTCCCTAACTTCAGCTCACCAATTTCTCCCTTGCCGAGTTTTGCATTAAAGTCTCCCATCAACACCGTATTTTGTAGGAATGCATGGCTCTAGAGATATCCTCATACATTTCCTCCACCTCCTTATCGGGATGTGCCGAGGTTGGTGCGTAAACCTGTATGATATTCAGCGAATACCGTTTGGTGATTCTGAGTATCAGGTACGCGACCCTCGTCAAAACACTCCCAATCTTTACAACGTTGTTGACGAGAGACTTGTGGACGATAAATCCGACACCTCCTTAGGACGGGTGGTCGCCCTCCCAATGATAGAACAAGTTGCCGGACTTGAGGATTACCCTGTCCTCCCCCTCTCTTTGGAGCTCGGATAATCCTATAATATGCCAGCGCAACTTGTCTACCTCTTCTTATAACTCCAGTATCTTCTCGTCAGTCCTCAGGGTGCGTGCGTTATATGTTGCCAGGTCGAGTCGTCGTAGGTGGCAACCGAACCTCCACCAGAGATTCTTAGCACCCCCTGCCCCGCCGTTACCATGGTCGCCACCGTAGCTAGGAATAGCGGGGCCGCCGGGGACTGGGGGCCGTTTGTTTGTATCATCGCTCATGGGGGGATATTTGCCATAGTTGCCACGCTTGGTGAGCGGGTTGGCAACCGCAGTTTTTTTTTGTTGTACAGTTGCTGTTATCAGGAAGATGCTGCTGCCCATCTCCTGCCTGTCTCCCTCTGTCGCCTCTAACGACACCCACGGGA